AGTGTTGTTAATGTTTGATTTGTCATGAGTGCTGTGGCAATAGCTTTAGCTCCATCAGCTGATATTTGGTTGCCTAATAAGTGAAGTGTTGTTAATGTTTGATTTGTCATAAGTGCTGTGGCAATAGCTTTAGCTCCGTCAGCTGATATTCGGTTGCGCTCTAAGTGAAGTGTTGTTAATGTTTGATTTGTCATAAGTGCTGTGGCAATAGTTTCAGCTCCATCAGCTGATATTTCGTTCAACCCTAAGTGAAGTGTTGTTAATGTTTGATTTGTCATGAGTGCTGTGGCAATAGCTTTAGCTCCATCATCTGATATTTGGTTGCGCTCTAAGTGAAGTGTTGTTAATGTTTGATTTGTCATGAGTGCTGTCGCAATAGCTTTAGCTTCATCCGCTGATATTTTTTTCTTGTAAGTCAAGCGTCGTCTGGTTTGTATATGGTTTATTATCGACTTTAATTATGATATTACTATGATCCCTTAACAGCTTTTGTGCAAATTTCGGTTCATTGAACATTCCATCGCAGTTCGGGATATCCAAGGATACTGTTAAATGCTGTTTGGTTCCTAAACTTTTCTCAATCAGTTCTATTATATATAGTGAGGTTTTTGCTGATCCGAGTCGTGGTGATACTTTGATGTTGGTCAATTCCAACTCTTTAATGAATGAACGGTCGATCGCTTCCAGCAAAGTAACAAAGTCTTTTTCACGCAGCTCGTATGAAATAAGGGATAATTTATACATGTTGAAACCTTTGCGAAGCAGTTCACACAACTTTTTTATATTTACTGCTTTTTCTACAACTGCTTGATCCTGCTGTCGGTCAAATTCACCTCCCATAGCTTCAAACAATCTTATAAACTCCTCCATCCGTGTTTTACTGTAGTTTTCGTTAAAATGTTTTATACACACCCATCTTACATGTCCTTCATCAGTTGTTGTTCGAGACAAATTACCCAATGTTCGACAATCATCTGTTTTCTTTAAGAATTTTTCTAACTCTCTTAAATCAGCCCCTTCATATGTTTGAGAACAAGTTGGATTTAGAGTTATATCAGTTGGTTTAGCCATGACATTATTCACAACACTGTCGACTGTATTCATTTTATCGGCGAAATCTTTCCAAAAGTTTCCATCTTTGAGTATATTCGGTATTGGTACTTGTTGAACAAATGCGAGATTGGGAAGAATAAAACCCGCGATAGTACCAAATGCTTTAAAAGCATAAATCATGTTTTTGACGTAAGGACCATACTTGATGAAAAATTCTCTTGGCTGATTGATTATGTAGCCTTCATGATAAGCTAAATGCATTTCATCTTTGTTACATTCACAAAGGAAGAATAAACGATATGTATTGTGTAGAAAGTTATCTGGGTTAAATCGTGACTTTTTCTCTATCATTATAATGAAGAATCTTGGTACGGTAAATTCAGCTAATTGGTACGCTTGACGAAGTATAACATCTAATCGTGATAATATTTTGCCTTGATTGTCAATTATGAGATCAAGTTTCTCTTGTGTTTTACTGTTTGTCGTCATATCAGTATCAGATATGTAACAATCAAGTAATTCATCTGAATATGCTTTGAATCTTGGTGGATCTAACTCTTTTCCTTTCGAATCTCTTTCACATGTTATTGCATCAATATTTGATCTTATTAAAGCGGTAATACGAGTGGATATTGCCTTATGGATGTCTTCCAGCAGAATGTATTCAACGTCGTCGCTAATCCAAAGTGGAAGTCGACGCTTTATTTGATTATATTGTAATGTTTGATATCGGGTCATTCTGGCGTATCGTATTGACCCTGAAATATGTGAAAATATGTTTAAAGCGAAATTTTGCTTGTTATGGGACACTCGCTAGTAGAGAAGCATTCCAGCTCTCCTACTACCGTGAAATGTAATTTTATAAAATAGTCTGCTTATGTTAGTCGACTCATACCGCTTTACAATCATTCATTTTTATATCTTTCTTTGCACATTCTTCTTTTGGGAACTGAGAAAAGTATTTGGGAACGAGAATAAAACGCAAACATACAGTGGAACGTGTGAGTTTTCGCATGAGTTTAAGCAAGAAAACAGTATTCTCTAGCCAAATTTTGTGTATTCTTCCTGTTATAGAAATCAACAATACTATCTTGTGCGGCTTTAATCTAACAGATACTTCAAAAAATACTATGACATACAATGATCGTGTTCGAGTCTTCCAAATTGAGACCACTTTTTATCAAAAAAGTGGTCTCAATTAGGAAATCTTAATTAACACCAAACAAACATCAGAGGGCGGCAGGCCAAGTGAGAGTGAGGGCGAAAAATAGTGGTCTCCATTAAGAACTAGCCATCGTATTTTATCTTGCTACACAAGCCATTAACTTAGAACAGCACTTATAGTGTAGACCGCCTGTCTATGTATTTGCTTACTTATTTTTCATCCTTTATTTTTATACATATTGTGTACATAAATTCATATAGGTTGGACACCTTTACAAGAGATGTATTAATTTACGTCGGTTTTGTCGCAATGCTTGTTAAGTTTGTTTTCTCTTTTCTATCTGCATGTGAACTCAACTTTACCGAATAAATATATATAAGCGGCACTACCACTTTCGAGGATAGGCATGATATTGCATCTTCTGAAAGCTGAAATGAGTAGTATGCTTAATAGTGAACATAGTACACGTACACGTCCGTTCACTGGTTTATCTCCCAATCAGTAACTTACTTGATGGTTCGTGACTTTAGATACATGAAGATGATCAGTGAGAGAACGAAAAACAGAAAAGCAGAGAAAGAGGATACTGTGTGCATGATCAACAGCACGAACGAAGCAAACTGAGGAAAACAAAAAGACTTTTTCTGTCATGCTCCACCAAGATAAGACAAATCAGAAAATAGGACATAAGCAACTTTGATCTGAGCACACACAACATTCTCATAAATGAGGACGTGATGGCTTTTGTTTTCCTTTTCAGAATTTATCTCATTGGAAAATTATCATCTAATCAGAGATCAGCAAAGAGTGAGAGAGATGTCAATGTTCAAGTGACACGCAGCGAATGCATTGAATCATAACTCTCCACATCGTTTTTCCTTCTGAATAAATCTCTCATCTGAAAATACACAGTTTGACATGCTCACTCTCGTGTGATGCTGCAATAAAATGAGTTTTGTGTAGTAAAAGCGCTGATCCACTCTGCAAAGTCTAGCAGTATTCATAGTTGACTGTAAGAGAACAAAGTATTGTTTACTAGTCTTGATGATGTGTACACGATATTATCATTCGTTCCTCATTCTCATGATGCTAATCGAACGCTGTTCACTTTGCAATGCACTATGCACGTAACTTGTTGTACTCTCATAATTCGTGTGTTAACCTGCCCAATGTACACGGTTCGTAAAACATTCTCTAGCTAAATCAACAACAGTTTCGTCTGTCGTATTTACAGGATAATGTGAATACGATCCGATCCGTAAGCAAATGGATCACTGGCTCAACGCGTTATTAAATATTTTAATGGCTCCAGTATTTCTATCCTAAACATTGTACGTAACACTTGCATAACATATTCAATTGTTTCGTCATCCGTTAATTTTTCCAGCATAAAAGCAAATTCACTATGAACGTAAAGTACAATTGTTAAGCGATTATATTTTACACCAATACTCATTTGCCCATAAACATTACATTTAAAATATCATTAGATAATAAAATATGTGGCAATTTTGGATATTCCAAAATTAAAGGCACATTACGTTTGGCAATTTTATATAAGCGCTCATGAACATTAACATAACACAATTCAGTTGAGCCGTCAGTACTATGTGACATTCCATATAATTCACAACCAACTTTACATTTAACAGGACTAATTGGTACACTAAATCGAACACAGAGTTTGATAATCAAATGATTCATCTGACTTTAATGAATTTATTACACCTAGACGTGTAATAACAGTACCATTTGGAAGTAAAAATAACAATAAAGTAATCAAATAAATAATATGTAACATGGCAAGATTACATTTGATAATAAATTGTTTAATAGCAGTATAAGCGTCATGACGCGTTATAGCTGCTCCTCGATATAATGGGAAAATCCAGTGCATTTGATGAATATGATACATCAACTCGTAGTTGTTCATCATAATCTATACCAATAGTGTTACCATTTTCGTCTAAATTATCTAGGATGTTGTTAGTATCATCATCATCATCACTTTCACTACAAACTTCTGTTGGTATATTATAATCATCTTCCTCCAAATTGCTGTGTAAATTATCTATATCTGAAAGTTGTACATCATAATTAAATATATCAATATTATTCTCATTATTTTCATCTGTAAGTGTTTCATTGGAAGAAGTAATGGCAACAACTAACGATGCATCTTGTATAATCCGATGACGTCGTTGTCTTAAAACGTTGATCTATAAGAAAAATAAACAATCGAAATATGATTATCACATCAGATATAGAAAATTGTGCGTTAAATCGTCTGTATTATTTTCGGTCGCGTACCTATAAAACTTTTTTGATTTTCATGCATAGTGTTATTTTAACCAACGCCCTGCATTATCTAAAACAAGACACATCAGAACTATGTTTTATATAAATACAATGTCCACAAATACCGGAACGAAGTAGAGATCATTTGTGTCGATAGTTTCAACGTTTCATCAATATCTGAAGACAATATCATTGGCTATAAGAAAAATTCATCTGATACTTTTCTTTAAAAAACATTTATTAACGAGACTATTCGCAAAGTATGATGCCGGTTTTATAAAAATAAACTGATGAACATCAGCACTTGAAAAAACCTCATTCAAAGCATCCTCATTCATTTTGTAATCAAATTAAGCACTAATCTTCGTTGTTACCAGAGACTTTATTAATTGCAGAGAAGTTTTCAAATCTTTTGGAATCTTTCACCAAGATTGTCCGTGATAGATTGGAGGAAGGTTCTGAAACAAAGCTTGAAAAAGTCTGGACCCAGACTTTTACAGGCAGATCTTTTCAAGAAAACTTCATCAGAATCTTGTCATAAATGGTTTAGGGTACTGTAAGATCAAGAAACTGGGGAAGTCTCGTGCAGATATAAACTTTTTGCAAGATGGAAATTTTGCCCAAAAATAAGTAGAGAAGACCTGCGGAAAAATCGTTAGCAATATTCTTCTAATCTGGAAAGAGATTTAGTGTCAATTTCGTTAATCCTTCTTACTTATTTTATTTTACATCGAATAACAAAGTACATTCGTGTATGATTCAATATTTTCAGTCAGTCGTCTATCTATCTCATTGCACGATCTATGAAGTTGTCATAATCATGTGCACTTTGTAGCTATGCATCCAGAACTTTATTAACTGGATTTTTCATATCGTTCACGTTCGATGATAGACTATCGATCTCGCGGTCGTATGCCCTACTAACTTCATGCGAGATGCCATTGACTTCTCCACTGCTACAATTGGTTGCCCCATAAGCTACAGATGATATGTTGCCATAGCCTTGTTAATAGGTGTCCGTAATACCTTTTGCCATCTTATCCGTCTGTTTACCTATATCATCTTTCGCATCCTTAACTTTTTGTTGAAGTGACAGAGATTTATCAGCAATAGTATGTTGAAAATTTGATGAAACGGACCCATCCGTTTTTCCACTGACATCTGGCTGAATTTTTTGAGTGGTACTTTGTGCGTTTTTGAATGGAGAATTGACTGCTGATGTTGCATCGTTGAAGATGTTACCACCATTAGTAATTGCTAACAAATTAGGTACAAATCGTTGAAGTTTTTTCTGGAAGAGATTTGTTAGATTTCCTTTGATATTTTTCTTTTCGATTGAGCCCACTATCTCGTTTAGCTTGTCTGCTTTTATATACTTGGCACCATTGATGTTTTCCATTTCATTTTCTGCTTTCTCTTGCAAAAGTTTAAGTGATCTAGTCAGAGTTTGCTGAAAACTCTTTGTAAAACCGTCAACTTGTTCTTTGATATTGTTGACGGCATCGCTAGTATAGCCAGACATATTTTGTTAAATGTAAAAATACGACAGTAAAATGAATACTAATTAAAATTGAGGAAAGGATAAAGAGTACCAAAAAAAACGGCGTTTCGATGTCAAAAATATGTTGATACTGCGAACAATAAGAAAACCACTATCATTGAATTAGCATCTATAACGATGATATGTTGTGAAAAGATGGATAATTTAATTTAATGTCTTTATCGTCATCCATATCGTGAGATTTAGTTATAGTATGTACGAGCGGTAAAATCGAACGGATTGCACTTCAATTGAACATTTGATGTAGAACACTGACACACTTTATCAAGACACCTTTGAGCTCTCTACGGCACTGCTTCATCAAATAGCATCAAAGACGATTTGAAAGAATACATTATACCTCATTCGGTAGACCCTCCAGTTCTGCATTTTTCGATATACAAACTGTGCTTAATCTCTGCCTGTAAAAAAGACTAACTATTTTTATATGCCACTATAGGAAAAAAATCGAGATATATGTCAAATATTTCTCGAATATGTTTACAAAGGCATACTTCTAAAATGTGTTATAGCTCATTTTGTAGCCCATGAAATTCTCTATCAAAAGGTATATGAAGTGGAGTAATTAACGAGAGAATGCATGGATAGTATAAACCTGAACAACGTTGACCTACCGACTTGCTGAGATGCTACCGAGTATTTCCAATCTTATACTCCCTAGTTACACGTTTTTCTGAATATTTTATATATCATTTTGTAGGCCGTGAAATCCTCTGTCGAATGATATATGAAGTCGAGTGTTTAACGATAAAATGGCTGGATGAAATAAATCATGAATAATGTTGACCTATGGATTTGTGGAGGTCGGTGGGGCTAGTATTTCTAGTGTTAGGACACCCAGACCCAATTTGTTCTCAATATTATATATATCATTTTGTAGCCCGTAAAATTCTCTATCGGGGGGTACACAGTAGTTGAGGTTTGCTTTGAGCAAATGAGAAGAAATGAGGAAAATACTCTAAATAAAGTTCATCTAAGGTGTTTTTTTAAGATGCTAGATTTAATCACGGCGAAAAACTACACGACATCAGATCTGTGAATATGAGATTGATCTGAGGGGGGGGGGGGG